TAAAACATATAAAATTAATATAGTGGACAGTTTTGGTTTTGCGAAATCATAGTGTGTAACATTCGTATTGAACCCCCTACCCCTAGACATTATAATAATTTATCACATGACTATGATCTGCAAACTCTCTATAACGGTCACTCTCCCTATAACGGCCTTTTTTGCCAAATCAGGCGGGCCGTTATAGAGAGAGTGAACTGTATGCCTACCTCTTTAAAGATTATTTTACTCTATTAGTCCAAAAAGAAAAGTATGTATACTTGGGATTTGTATTTTTTGCAACACGTATAAAAAAATTTGTGTTAGTATTGGTCGGAGTTCATGATCAATCTACAAGCAGCTAACTTTATTTTAGAAAAAACGCAATTGATGTGTGTGATATGTTTCTATTCATAATACAATTTTTTGGAGTTGTTATAAATGTATTCAATTATTTGTTTATTCAAATTACTCGAACAGAGTTTTCAAAGAGTTGTAACCACTCGCTTTCAATATTTATATTGCTAAATAATACAGAATTTCTTTCGCCATCAAAATCACTAGATCCACAATCCACATTATCATCATTATCGTTAGATTTTTTCTTTCTTTTAAACATCCCAATTGTTAATAGTATCAAAGCAAAAACAAAAACAATGGCTATACTTCCTAGAACAATTATAAGTTCTTTATAACTATTACTTTTTGGTGGTAAGTAATCACCTATAGGATTTATATCTGTGTTGGGGTCAGTTGTATCTGTTTGAAAATCAAATGTGTCTGACCATCTGTAATCATTTTTGTCGCCAATATTTAATAGTAAAATATTTGAATAGGGTTCAAGAAGTAACTTATCAGTATAAACCCAACCTATTATTATTAATTAATCAATATAAATATAATTAATAAAAACAAGTAATATGTATGTATATATATATGTATATATATATATATACGAATTTCAAGTTACCAAATGCAATTATCATAAAATTTCTATACAGATTTGAAGAATGCCCTACATGATATTCATCAATTGGATAAGTAATATTTGTTGGAATTGTCCATTTAAAGGGAGACTGTGCTGTATCTAATATTGCTAATTTATCTGATCCGTTAGTACCTCCATATACAACTATTCTTCTATCAAGCACTATACAATAAATAACAAATCAATAAAATTTTTTAAAAAAAAGAAATATTTAATTAAATGGTTATAAACTATGATAATTGTTTTTACATGATACTGAAGAATGTCCATATCGTCCAGAAGGTTTATCACCAATCGTTGTCTATCATAATAGAAAATCTATAAACAAATTTTTGACAATACAGTTATCAATGACCCACATTATATATACTTACAACATTAGACCATAAATTTTGTTTGATGTTAAATAAGTATACCTAAAAATATATAGAAATCTATTAATATAAAACCTTTCTTAATTCCAACCAATTAAAAACCCATATTATTATTACCGTAGTCATGTCTAATCCAAAAAATATCATTGTTTCGTCATCTAATAAATGACAATTAAAATGATATGGATCTATATTTGGAACTTTATCACTTTTTAAGGTCGTAAATGTCAAATGGTTTGTGTTAAATTTATATATAGGATTATGTTGGTGACTTGCTATATATATGTTCCCATAATTATCTTGTGTGTAAATTGTGTCATAAATATCAATTAATTCTGATTGTCCATCGAGGGCTTCTGGTGTCCATTTATCAAATAAGGCTGTATTTGTTGAATAAACTATTGATCCGTAATCTGTAGTATTAGGATTATCAGCTCTTAAACCAGCTATAACATATAGTGTGCCATTATTAGTTCCTGCTAATGCCAGCGATGCTTTATGAAATGGGGGTATTACTGAATTTGGATCAATTTGTTTTATTGGTAATCGTTGTTGATCGAGGACTGAAAATGATGTGGATAAATCAATGTAAATTATTTGGTGTGTTATTTTTCTAGTTGTATGAGATTTTCCTCCAAAAAAATAAAGTTTATCGTTTAATATGATGGAATTTTGATGTGCTATATCTAAGAATTGACCAGAGACCAAATAGTTGAAATTGTCCCAAAATATTAATATCAATGATATTAATAAATAAAGAATGTGGTTAGACATTGTTTTATCGAATTAAAAAAAAAAAATCCCTACGATAATAGTTTTTATTTATATGTAAATTTAAACTTCGTAGATTATGGATACAACCATACTTCCCTTCATATAACCTTTCATTTAAGAAGAAGACACGTGTTGGAATCATTATCATTTATTAATAAATTAATAATGAATATAATTGAAATAAATTAAAAAATATATATATATATGTGAATCTTGTTATGGTGACAATAGTAAATTCTAGTTGCATTGAACTTTTTTGCCTCCTATTTTTTTACACCACCTTTATAATCACGGTAAGAAAGAAAAAATTTACATATCGATATGGAACTGAAGGGCTCACTCTGGCAGGCTTTATTGTAAATGTTCATTCATTCATATTTGTGGATCTACAGTATGACTTTTAGTATGACATCCATTTTTTGGCTTTTCAATAGAAACGAGGGAGAACTTGAAATTGAAAAGGATTTGCACTTTAAGGGATTTGCTATTGTTTTGAAACTTCAAGAGAAAGCATCTTAAAAGTTATATATGTAAGGGTGACATTAACTCAAAATCATGATTTTCGGCGTTTCCTCATTATATCCCCCTATAGTAATAGTTTAGAGAATGATTTATAAAATCAATTAAAGGAGTAAATGGATATCATAGGAACGTAATAAATAATAATAATAAATTTATACTTCATTAATAAGCTTTTTATTAATATCACTAAATATTATTATTTATAATTTTACTTTTAAATTGTATTGTACAAACAAAAGTTATATAATAGTATAGAGTTCAAAGCATGTTATTAAGTCGACTTTAATTCCTACCATGTGTGGAACGGTCGAAATTTCTCTGGTCCAACGGCGCCCAACCTATTAAATCCTTTTTCCTTCGATATGAGAGAGTAAAAAAGTCCATCGCTATCTATCTTCACATGCAGTGGTATAAAAAGTATAGGCACAACTTTTCATGCAAGGTGCTCGATTGGTATTAATTAGAAATCTGACCATTAAAATATATTAGTAACATAATCTTGATTTTTATGATGACCAAGGTTTTTAAATTTTTTAAAATCCAAAAAAATTATTGTTATAATAAAAATAAAGTTTTTTGCAATATATTCATAATGGAACAGTTAATAATATATTATTTGAATCCAAATAAAAATTTTAAACTTGAAATATGTGATGAGCTAAATTTGCAAATTTATTTATTTAATAGAGAAAAAATAAGCAAAAGAACGGATTGAACAAAATATAATTTATGTTTATAATATTTCATCGAAACACACCAATCATTCAACTTCAAGATTATTGTGATGAAAATAATTATTCTTAAAAGTATTTATTTTGATGATTACAAATATCAATGCTTATGACTATATTATAGTTGTTCGCCTTAATAAATGATCGTAGTTACAAATTATTTCTGTAACTGTTTGAACTCTTCAAGTCAAATGGCATATTAATATATAGTTATTTTACGTTAGTTCATATAAAGAACATTGAGAATCCGTAAATATTGTCATAATCATAAAAACAATCGCGGCAAACAACTATAGACTATGAACATTAGAGGAAATTGATATCTGGGATTTTTTGATCTAATGGAGAATAAGACATATGAAAGAAAAAAGCAACCGGGTTGGGACAAATTTCACCAAAAAATATTTTGGCCGAAATTCATTATTGCCAAGATAATATTCAAGAAGTTCTATATTTAAATCGGTACTTTTCTTATAAAATCATTTAAAGTCGTGATTGAATCCTATCGATCGGATGACATCAATTCAATAAATGTTGTCATTCCATTCTGCGATATTTTCTTATTTAAAAAATTCCAAGAATACCAAACCCTGTTTTTGAATTAAATGTTTAATTTCAATTTGACAGATGGTCAAAATGAAAATGTCTATAACAATTTACCATATGATTATGAATTAATTCTTCAAGGACCCCGTGGTGGTTTTTCTAGATCAAAATAAAAAAAAAAATAATAGAAAATTATAAAAAATAAACATAAAATGAATATTTTGTCAAAGCACATTGACAATTCAATATCAAAAGATATTGAATGAAATACCCTGGATTAGACTGTCACAATAGCATCATATGCATATAATGTGAAAGTTAAAAAGAATAAAAGGCTAGACAAAGTGACTTCTAAATTAGGTTAGTTTTATTATAAAATTGTTGATTTCGAAATTGGGACTGATCGGCAATATTAATTTGTCAATTTACAAACTTTAATTGATTGCCAATTAAAATCCATTGTTTTACTTGATGATGATTATAAAATCGAAAATTGGCCAATTTAGACGTTCAAGGAAGATGGTGAATGCAACATGTCAGCTGCAGACAATATAATAGCGTTGTTGACACTTAAACACCAATAAAATTTTCTTTTTGTACATGTTATAATAAATAATGTGTGTGAAACGACGACATAGTCGCTTAATAATATCAGGCTGACCGAGTAATCTAAATGAGCATTTGACCAAATTGATTAAACTATTTAGTCGTCAAAACAGTTATTGCCAAATTATGATTTACGAAACCAGCCTATTTAATATATGATTAAAAAAAATGTCATATTACAATTTATTATCATCATTATCACCAGACAGAAGAAATTTTGTACTTAAAACTTATTATGAATTATTTTATAATTCTTTATCAATTGCAAATGATATTTATAATAACACATCTGGTAAAGAAATTCAAAAGGGCTACATTAATAACTGAAAATTAAAACCTTTTAGAAATTGAAATGGTTATATATTTGAATTATTAAAAGTATGTCCTAATTGTAAATTAAACAGATATTTTGTGAATTTGTATTCGTTTACATTTACATTTACATTTACAGAAGCTTTTTGATACATGGTCATCCGGAAATAGCATCATTGATAATTTTATTCAAGAATGTCAAAAGCTCACATTTCTTCCTACGCATATTATGAAATGGATCTCCCATTTGATCAATTTGGAAAAGGTGGAATATTTAATTAAAGGAGGTTTTGTTGCCACGTGGAGAAAAGGGTGTATATCTGACTATGATGAAGATAAAAAAGAATTTATTTGCCATGGGTCTCAAGATGTAGCATTAAAACTACTAAATTAATCCAAATGAGCCGGGAAAAAATTTTTAGATGATTAATATTAATTGATTTTCATATAATCTTTCAAGCATTCCCAGAAAATAAATTTTTGCACTAAAATAAATTATTAGTCGCCCAATTTATATAATTAATATTAACAAACTATGTAATAATAATAAACTCCTCAATTGTTAATGGTTTCATTCATAAAATAGTAAATGGAAACAAATTTTAGTTTGTAAAAAAAAAAATCTTTCTATATAGTACTTTTTTTTTTATTTGTATTAGATCCTCCCCTCACAACTTACATAGGATTGGAAAAACATATAGTAAACGTTGCTTATTGGTTTAAAATGAAAATAAAATAAAAACAATACACAAGATTAAAAATATCACAATTACTACTATGTGAATGTCCGTATGATTTAAAAAAAAAAATGAGAATTAGAAACTTTATCAGTCATTATAACCGTTACACGAATAAAATTTTCAATCATAATAAATTTTTAGAGCCAGACTAGGGCTTCCTAACAACTATTAAAATAGGAATCTAGCGTATTTATTTGGTATTCTACGCCAAGCTGCAAGGGTTACTTTTTTTCAAATTTAAGATTTTCTTCCAACTAATGCGCGAATAAAGCAAACTCAACAATAATAGTTGTGTCAAAGTGTTCCTTACTCCTTACAAAGTCGTTTATAATCACTCAGAAGGTTGTATTGAAAAAATTTTGACTTTTATTATAAGAAATTGTTTCATAATTATTTATTTTTAAAATCACAAAAATAAAATTAGTAATGAATCCAAAATTTTATTATCTATTAATATGTAAAGAAATTTATGAAGTTGAATTATAGTTTAACATGGAATATTAGTAATCACTTTATACCTAAATTTGTATATATATATATATATATTCAAAAAAGGATCAAAAAAATCTTTTATCAAAAGATTCACAGTGTCTACCATATTTTAATTACATAAAAAATGTCTTTTATTTTGTCTTGTAGTGTGTTCATCGAGAGCACAGGTACTGCATATACAATGACAATTTTGCTAAAAAAGCACTTTAGAATAATTCAGAAAATACGATCCCGACATTAAGAAATTCCCTCTTGGATCAAAACTATTTCCAAGAAAATTTTTTATTTTACCAAACTATTAATACATGTGTTGCGAGATATAGGTTTGGTATTTGTATGCGAAGTTCCAATTGGCTAATTTGAAGCAAAATTTTAAACATCATTCTAGCGATTGGATTGATTTGAAACTCTAAATGAAACGCCTGATTTGTTTGGCTTTCCAATTACTTTTCTATTTGGCAGTTGTCCTCCCCTTGTAAAGAGAAAACAACAAAACTATTTAAAAAATATTTATAATCCATTCACGTCAAATTAAATGATACCATGCACATACACAGCTTCAAATAACAGATATTTGATAGCGGCTGAGGTGACAAATTCATTAGCAATATTCTTAGGCGAGCTTTTTTGTAGGGACAGGTCTTGCGCAGATTATTTATAGTGAAATCAAGTGGTCGTACGCCAAATCTGTGAAGAGTAAAATTCCAAGATAATTTATTAAAATTTGAGCAGCAAAATAACAAACTCATCATCATCAAAGTCAGTCATTGTCGTCACAAAAAAATTGTTAAAAAAATCACTTTGTTCTTTTTCAAGTGTGATATTTACTTATACACATACCTTGAAATTAGAAAAGAAATATATTTTTAAAGAATAAAAAGAACAAATAAAAATTGTAGGAAAAAAAGAGATCAATAGACAAGGATAACGAATTCGTATTTTTTCACATCAATATGACCAATGTTTTTTCAAAGTATTTTTTATTTCTATATTTAACAAAAAATTTTTAATATCAAGTATTTTCTTTTTCTTTTCCCTCCTTCACCCTCAATGGTTGTTAATTAATATATTTACCCTCATTAGGAATACATCCTAATACTTTATTCCAACAATTTTCATCTTCAAAACATCTTGATCCTTCAATATTAAGTCATCAAAGTATTGGTTTATTATTGACTAATTATTTGTTCACAAAAAAGTTACATATGAATACGAATATCTTCATATATATTAAATTATAATAAAATACCTTATGAAAGGATGCAAATGCCCACCAAGGTCAACTCTTTCTGTGCTTGTGCACCACCCTATACAGTACATGCAAACATACATATTGATTTATAACTGACAAAAAAAAATTTGTATTCTCATGCTATATAACAAACCAATTTGTATTCTCATGATATATAACAAACCTCAATAGCTTCCAAGTATGATACAATAGCCTTTTTCTTATTGTTATTTTATTTTCTGGCTGAAGAATGTCTACCTGAATATACCCACAATAAATATCTCGACATTAATAGACTTTTAGCAGAGTCTTAGAACTTATTATCCCGATTTTTAATCTTAATCGGAATTTTATTTTATTTTGTTATTATCATAATATAATTAAACAAGATTTTTTTAAAAATGTATTTTATTTCATTAATAGATTCTTATGCGTACATATTATTATATCCACCAAAGGTTGAGTTTTTACAAAGACAATGTTATTTATATGGGAGTAAAATTACTATATGGTTGATTGTTGATTAATATAAATAATCAAACAATTAATTTGATCAATTAATTGCATTTTATTCCTCTCTTCTTCTCCTCTTTCTTCTCGAAAATCTATGTAATTATTATAAATAATAAATAAATTATATTAAAAAATTTAATAATTTTTGTTTTATATATGAAATTTTTGGCTATAAAAGTTATAACATTTTTGTTGTCACCTTTACCCAGTTGC